CCAAAGCCTCAAGGTAAGGAAGTCCTCCAGCTTTTAGGAGATTGTTCTCATCTTAGATTTCACTTTACAGGTTTCTGGGAGAGTCACCTACAATGGCCACACATTGACTGAATTTGTGCCTCAAAGGACTTCTGCTTACATAAGCCAACACGACTTGCATAGCGGGGAGTTGACAGTGAGGGAGACGTTTGATTTTGCTTCTAGGTGTCAAGGCGTGGGAAGCAGATATGGTAAACAACGTCCTGGGTTGGCGTGCAAGTGGAATTGACTTTCTTATAACTTGTGTCAGAGATGATAACGGAGCTTTCAAGACGGGAGAAAAATGCCAAAATCAAACCGGATCCTGATGTTGATGCGTTCATGAAGGTAATAAGCACTTTTTGGTTGGCAGCGTTCTTACGAGCTTCTTACAGGCGTCGGCTATAGAGGGTCAGGAGACCTCCATTGTAACGGACTATGTGCTGAAGGTAAGCGTGTTTTGGATCGTGATCAAAGAGGATTCGCGGTTCTCATGCATTTTTTCGCTTCCAGATTTTGGGTTTGGACGTTTGTTCTGATATACTTGTCGGAGACGCCATGCGCAGGGGTATTTCTGGAGGACAAAAGAAGCGTGTCACTACAGGTAAGACTTGCAAGCCTGGAAGCTTTTTGGTCACGATTTGTTTATGACAAATGTTTATTTTGCAGGAGAGATGCTCGTTGGGCCTGCAAAGTCTCTTTTCATGGACGAGATTTCAACCGGTCTTGACAGCTCGACCACATTTCAGATAGTGAAGAGCTTAAGGCAGTTTGTCCATGTGCTCGATGCTACCATGGTCATCTCCTTGCTCCAGCCTGCTCCCGAGACGTTTGAGCTTTTCGACGACTTGATTCTTCTGTCGGAGGGGCAGATTGTATATCAGGGGCCCCGGGAACTCGTGTTGGATTTCTTCGAGACGCAGGGATTTAAATGTCCTCCGAGGAAAGGTGTCGCGGACTTTTTGCAAGAAGTTACGTCAAGGAAAGACCAGGAACAGTATTGGGCTGACAAGAGGATGCCATACAGATTTATACCTGTCCAGGAGTTCGCGGATGCCTTTCAAAAGTTCCATGTCGGTCAGAACTTTGCTGAAGAATTGGGGCGGCCTTTTGACAAGAGTAAAAGCCATCCGGCAGCTCTTGTCACTCAGAAGTACGCTCTTAGTAACTGGGAGCTTTTCAAGGCTCTCTTGGCGCGGGAGATACTTTTGATGAAGAGGAACTCATTCGTCTACGTGTTCAAAACTTGTCAGGTATGCTATCAAAGACTAAAATCTATATATCTGATACTAAAATTTCCAATGCAGCTGATTGTTATAGCCGTAATCACGATGACTGTGTTTCTCCGGACCGAAATGCATCACAGAACTGTTGGCGATGGCAGTCTCTACATGGGAGCCTTGTTCTTCGGCCTGATCATCGTCATGTTTAATGGATTTGCGGAGTTGTCGATGACCATTGCGCGCCTTCCAGTATTTTACAAGCAGCGGGACCAGATGCTATTTCCTGCGTGGGCATTTTCTCTTCCTAACGTGATCACTCGAATTCCAGTGTCCCTGCTCGAATCAGCAATTTGGGTGTGCATGACGTACTACGTGGTTGGATTTGCTCCTAGTGCCGCCAGGTTTGTTACATTGATGTTTAGTGAGAAATAGTGTTGATATTTTATGTTTGAGTGTTTCAGGTTCTTCCAGCAGTTCCTTCTCATGTTCCTAATTCATCAAATGTCGAGAGGTCTTTTCCGATTCATTGCTTCACTTTCTCGGACTATGGTTGTAGCAAACACCTTCGGCTCTTTCGCGCTGCTGATAGTTCTTGTCCTCGGTGGTTTTCTTCTTTCTAGAGGTAATCCATTGACTATACTCAGGTAGCACAACTTATAATGGTCTTTAATTTCCAGAGGACGTTGAACCTTGGTGGATTTGGGGATATTGGTCGTCGCCCATGATGTACGCACAGAATGCGCTTGCCGTGAACGAGTTCAGTGCATCAAGATGGCAGATTCTCGAAAATGCCAATCAGACCACCACCGTTGGCAACCAAGTTCTAGAGTCTCGAGGTCTGTTCCCCAATAAAAACTGGTATTGGCTTGGAACTGGTGCTCAGTTGGCTTATGCCATTCTCTTCAACGTTGTTTTCACTTTGGCACTCGCTTACTTCAGTGGTACGTAGGAATCTATTTTTTTTCTCCATGTAGGTACTCATTTTTATATTCAAACAGCTCCTGGGAAACCGCAGGCCGTAGTGTCTGAGGAAATACTAGAAGAGCAGAACATGAATCGTACCGGCGAAGTCTCAGAAAGATCAGTGTGTGCAAAATCAAAACGATCGGGCAGATCTTCTAATGCAGGTAATGGCGCCATCACAAATTTCATTATATGGTCTAACATCGAATGCCAGGAGATTTGGAGCTTACGTCTGGTCGAATGGGTGCCGATTCTAAAAGGGGAATGATACTCCCGTTTCAAGCTTTAGCAATGTCATTCAATCATGTTAACTACTACGTTGACATGCCTGCGGTATGCTTTTACGCATTTCCTTTGTAGGATATTGAGTTCTAATGCCCTTGTAACAGGAAATGAAGCAACAAGGCGTGACTGAAAATAGATTACAGTTGCTGCACGACGTAAGCAGTAGCTTCAGGCCTGGAGTTCTCACGGCTCTTGTCGGTGTAAGCGGTGCTGGAAAGACAACTCTCATGGATGTTTTAGCCGGGCGTAAAACTGGTGGCTACATTGAAGGCGACATTCGCATCTCCGGCTATCCAAAAAACCAGGCTACTTTTGCTAGGATTTCGGGTTATTGCGAACAAACTGACATTCATTCACCCAACGTTACAGTGTACGAGTCACTGGTTTATTCTGCTTGGCTCCGACTATCGGATGACATTGATAAGGGGACGAAAAAGGTAAGGAGAGAGATGTTTTTCGTGGTCAAGTTTGCTAAGATGAGTTTTGGAACAGATGTTTGTGGAAGAAGTTATGGATCTTGTAGAGCTTAACCCTCTCCGGGATGCGTTGGTTGGTCTCCCTGGAGTTGATGGACTTTCGACCGAGCAGCGGAAACGACTGACAATTGCCGTGGAGCTCGTTGCAAATCCTTCAATTATTTTCATGGACGAGCCAACTTCCGGACTGGATGCACGAGCGGCAGCAATTGTCATGAGAACGGTCCGCAACACTGTCGACACCGGTCGCACTGTCGTCTGCACCATTCATCAGCCTAGCATTGACATTTTTGAGGCCTTCGATGAGGTACGCGATTATTACCTTGCAAACTCTCTTGAAAACCTGCCTGCTTTCTCCAGCTTCTGTTGATGAAACGCGGAGGGCGCGTTGTCTACGCAGGTTCCTTGGGAAAGAACTCGCACAAACTTGTTGAATACTTTCAGGTAAGTCGCTTGCGTTGTTCTTGCAGACTTGAGATGATTTATATGGATTAATTTCCCCAGGGTATTAGCGGTGTTCCTAACATAAGAGAAGGATACAATCCAGCTACGTGGATGTTAGAGGTTACCGCTGCAGACGTGGAGAATCGTCTGGGAGTAGATTTTGCGGACATCTATAAAACTTCTTCAGTCTACCAGTAAGCACACTTGACCATTATCTCTTTCTTGGCTAAACCACTGGTGTGTCTAGGCACAATGAAGCTATTATTACTCAGCTGAGCACTCCGGTTCCTGGCACGGAGGACATATGGTTTCCAACGCAATACCCTCTGTCGTTCCTCGGACAGGTCATGGGATGCTTGTGGAAACAACATCAGTCATACTGGAAAAATCCATACTACGTTCTGGTTCGCATGTTCTTCACCTTGGTTGTCGCGATAATATTTGGCACAATGTTTTGGGACATCGGCTCCAAAAGGTAAACGTTGTGTAGTTCAATCAAGCGTTGATTCTGACTCCTGCCTTTCTCTCGTGAGCAGATCACGAGAACAAGACCTCTTTAATCTGATGGGATCTATATACGCTGCTGTGCTCTTCATTGGGTTCAGCAATTCGTCAGGAGTGCAGCCAGTCGTTGCTATCGAGCGAACGGTCTACTATCGAGAAAGAGCCGCTGGAATGTACTCTCCCCTTCCATATGCTTTTGCTCAGGTAAGGCATACATCCGACTCTTCAGATTTCGTTTGACTCATCAAGGAAAACTCCGTGCGTCCAGGTCCTGATCGAGATTCCCTACGTGTTCGTGCAAGCCTTCGCGTATGGACTCATTGTGTACGCGACGATGCAGCTGGAATGGACAGCAGCCAAGTTCTTGTGGTTCCTCTTCTTCTTGTACATGACGTTCCTCTACTACACGCTCTACGGCATGGTGACGGTGGCGCTGTCACCCAACGACCAGATTGCAACCATCGTATCCTCGGCATTCTACGGAATCTGGAACCTGTTCTCTGGCTTCATCATCCCTCGACCGGTAAGTTCATGAATTCCACACATTTCTTTCCTTAACACTTTGGTTTGTTTCTTGGTGTCTCTCAGGCGATTCCAGTGTGGTGGAGGTGGTACTACTGGGCCTCGCCACCGGCGTGGTCTCTCTACGGCCTCCTCACGTCTCAGCTTGGAGATGTCACCACGCCGTTGTTCCGGGCCGACGGCGAAGAGACGACCGTGGAGGGCTTCTTGAGGTCCTACTTTGGGTTCAGGCACGACTTCTTGGGCGTCGTGGCCGGGGTTCACGTCGGCCTCGTCGTTGTCTTCGCGGTGTGCTTCGCCATCTGCATCAAAGTTTTCAACTTCCAGAACCGATGATCGATCGACTGGTTTTCGTGGAAGAAATTCTAAAGAACAAAGAAACTCGGTGCTGCCCTCATAATGATAGCTCCAGGGGCATCACAACATTTTTTACAATGAAGAGAATGTACAGTTTTCTTTGAATTATATAACCAGCCAAAAGGCTGGGTTTTTTTTTTTTTTTTGAATGTGTACTTACTTGAGCTGCGAAACTAAAAGTTTTAAGGGGAGAAAGAAAAGCAAAAGAGAAGAAAGAAGCTCTCCACTCTTTCTTACATTCACGCCTGGGATCATGCTGCTTGAACAGTGCGAACTTCGGCTCCAGCGTCTTCTGTGTCACGCGGGAGAATATGCCAGAGGAGGAGGGGTTGAAACCCTCTGGGCATTCTCGTGTTCTTGATGGTTTGGGGACTTCTCGCGGAGGCGGTGGCTGCCAGGGCGCCCTAGCGCGTGAAGGATCGATTTTGGGAGCTCGGGCGGCATGGCATGGCGTCAGTTGCTGGAGAAGGTATGGCGCTCTCTTTCCTCTCTCCCATTAGGGCTGCGCCCGCGCTGATTGCCCGCGGATTTCGACCACAGGGAGGCTCCTCCGCCACGGCGACATCCTTGTATGGGCTGGGACGCGCGATTGTGTTGAAGGGATGCAGGCATTTTTCTATCCGATTTCCCTCGTCGTTGCTAATGATGCTTGAATTTCGGCTGGCGCAGGGATCGTGTTGAATCGCCTCAAGAGACGCTGCATGTCCAGCTACACAAGCAATTTCTCGAGAAGGCTGGAGCAGCTGGAGAGAGAAGGAGGGCCCGATGCTCAGGAGAAACAAGTGAAGTTTCTAAGAGATCTTAACAAGGTGGATCCCGAGGGAGTGATTTGGTGGTTCGAGAGTAGACCACTTCCGCAGCACAGCACCGGTGCTTTGGCCGAGTATCTCAAAGCTCTCGTCAAGGTCGATAGGCTCGATGACAGTGCCTTGTTGAAAACGCTGCAAAGAGGTAAACGCTGTAACTCTTTCTTTATCGGATCTGATCCTCTTTTTTTTTTTAAAACCGTGTAGGAGCAACTGCATCGCTAGGAAGTTTTCAAGCTGAGGCGCGACCGATCATGTCTTTGGCGTTTCCGGCAGTAGGAACAGCCACGAAAGACGGAATTTTGGGCTCTCCCAGTGCGCCAATCCACATGATCACGTCCGAAGGAGGTGGACTGTTCGAACCTTGGCTCTGGGCTTTCTCCTTCTCTCTGGCGTTGGGGCCATTATAAGGGCCTCAGCAAAGGTAAGCATCGTAGAGCATGGCTTGCAATGCAGCGACAGGAAAGACGATGCTGGCTCGGGCAACTGCTGGTGAAGCAGGGGTACCGTTTTTCTATTGCAGCGGGAGCGAGTTCGAGGAAATGTTCGTCGGAGTTGGTGCTCGGCGAGTGCGAAGAAGTGCTCGCCATGCATAATCTTCATGGACGAAATTGATGCAATAGGTGGGAGCTGAAATCCCAAGGACCAACAGTACATGAAGATGACACTGAACCAGCTGTTGGTGGAGCTGGACGGTTTCAAGCAAAACGAAGGCATCATAGTGATCGCGGCTACGAACTTCCCCGAATCTCTCGACAAGGCGCTTGTCCGTCCTGGTCAGTTCGATTGGCATGTGGTGGTTCCAAATCCAGACATCCAGTTAGAGAACATCCATTTATGTATAAACACCTTGCTTTTTTTTTTGTTTTTTTTTTTTTTTTTTTTTCTCTTGTGAGTGCATAGAATATGGAAAGGGAATACATCTCAATTAGCCCAAAAACCATAATTTATATACAGAAGTGAGTGGTCCAGATTGAAATTAATCTAACGGCTACCAAAATCCCATTATGTTAATATTAGTATATGGCATCGTAGGTATATACTTGGCCCTCACATCATCCCCTCCTCTCAGAATAATGTGTCAAGGTTCTTTTGTAAATGGGCTAGGATCTAGAGGAACGTCAAGAGGAGGCATTGGTGGATCTGTAAACGGTATTAATTACTCCTGATCCCTTTGCATGAAGCATTTAAACTGCTGCACATGCACAATCTCTGAAGGATCGGCTTGTTGGACATCATGCCAAACCTCATAAACTTGCGGTCCAACTTGCCACAACACCCGATACGGTCCTTTCCACTGCACAAAGAACCCTTTAAATAAACCACGTACCGTAAGATGGGGAAAACGGACTAACACCAAATCATCCACTTTGTACTCTGCAGGTGGACAATGATGGGAGTTATAACGCCATTGTTGTTCCACATGTATGCGGCCTAAATGTTCGGCAGACTCTGCTCAGACAAGTGGAAGAATGCTCGTCAAATATTGATCCCATGACTTAGCATTAGGAGCTCGTGGCAATCGCAAAGGTAAACCCAGCTCCGTTGGTAATATTGGATCATAACCATATAGAAATTTATATGTTGTAGCACCAACAGAACTCTGCACCCCTGTGACATATGCATACCGAAGAGACAGCAAATAACCATCCCAATCCGAATGCTAAAAGTTCACATATTTCGCAATCATCCCTTTGAATGTCCGAATGAGGCGTTCCACCAGACCGTCTGATTGTGGATGATAAGCACTCGTAAAAGTGTGGCGTATCCCCAACCGAGACGTCAAAACATGAAAAACCTCAGCCATAAATGCAGGACCATTATCCGAAAGAATCCGCTCTGGACAAGAATGTTGGAACACCACTCGATTGAGGAGGAAGTATCCAATAACAGTTGTAGAGGCGCTAGCAAGAGCACCAACTTCCACCCAACGAGTCAAGTAGTCAGAAGCAATAATAATATACTCATTGCTAGCAGTCAACCGTGGAAAATGTCCCATAAGATCAAACGCCACTAACTCAAACGGACGGGAAACTGGAATTGACTCCAACCGTCCTTCCGCAGCACAAGGGGGAGTATTACGAGCTTGGCACCAAACGCAGCTACGCATATACCGAATAACATCACATTGCATCTTTGGCCAATAGAAAGACCTACGCAGCTTCTTGGTCACACGACGATGTCCCATATGCCCACCTAAAACAAGAGAATCATGGTAGGCATGGAGAAATCATGGAATAAAGATAGAAGGCACCACCAGCCGTAAATGATCATTAGGATCCGTCCCCACAAAATAAAGAAGGCCATCTTCAAGACGATTTTGAGAATGTAAATGCCAAAAAGGCAAGTCATCAGTAAATGATGCAAGATTCTCAAATGCATCTCGAAGCCTTCGAATCCACAGCTCAATCTTTTGAGCCTCACGAACTTTATCAAGAGAAGGTAGATCTTGCTCTGCGCCTTGTGGACACTGAACATCAAGTACAGCAACCGCTGACAGTACAGAATCCTCGTCTAAAAAATCCACAGATGCTGGAACAACAGGCTCATCATAAACATGAGAAGAGAGTGGAGAAGGAAGAGGAGCTCAAGAAAGAGCATCAGCATCAGCCATAGAACTCCCTGGGCGATGAACAACATCAAAATTATATATCTGAAGCTTCAAAGCCCACCGAGCAGTACGACCAACCAGGTTCTTCCGCTTCAATAACGAAGTAACTGCAGCATGGTCACCTTCAAATAACATCCGAGAACCATGTAGATATGCATGAAGTTTCTCGAAACCCCAAACTGCCTCTAAACACTCTTTTTCTGTTATGGAGTAGTTCACTTCTGCTGATTGTAACGTACGGCTTATATATGCAATGGGATGATGCTGACCAGGCACACTCAGGCTTTCTTGCATCAACACACCTCCAAGACCAATATCAGAAGCATCTACGTGCAAAATAAAAGGTCGAGTGTAGTCAGGATATGCCAAAACCGGAAGAGTTGTTAACAGCTCTTTGAGATTCATAAACGCCTTCTCACAATTTGAAGACCAGATGAAAAATGACGTTGATGATTTCAGCAACGCTCGCAACGGTGCAGTGTGATCAGAAAGATGATCCACAAAACGACCGAGATACTACACCTTGCACAGGAAGTGCTGCACATCATTCACACACTTCGGAGTAAGGAACCTTAGAATGGCTACAAGTTTGTCAGGATCAACTTGCAAACCTTCACGAGAAATATAGTACCCAAGATAAGTTGTGTCCTTGGACCCAAACACGCACTTCGACCGCTTCAACTTTAAACCAACGTCCCATAGCCGATCCAACACTTTACACACATCACGAATGTTCTCCTCCCATGTCCCCTCCGAGTGAATCAAGACATCATCAATGAAGTCAGCAGTCACCTCTGGCATATCACAAAGAACCTCGTCCATCATCCGCTGGAAAGTTGCTGGAGCATTGTTCAAACCAAACGGCATCACCAAGAACTCATACAAACCAAATGGTGTACAAAGAGCAGTCTTAGGAATATCTTCTTCAGCCATCAGTACTTGCCAGTACCCAGAAGCAAGATTGAGCTTGGTGAACCAACGACTTCGCCCTAGACAATCCAAGAGATCAGTCGTGTGAGGAAGAGGGTACACATCCGGGATCGTCACTTCATTTAACGGACGATAGTCGATGCAGAAACGAATACTCCCATCAGGCTTCGACACAAGATGAAGTTCACATGCCCAAGGACTCCGCAACTTCTGAATAACACCCTTCTCCAACATCTCCTTGACGTTTGTACGTAAAATCCTGATCTCCTTGGGTGACCGACGACGAACTGGGACCTTGATTGGACGAGCATCCCCGGTGGGAATCGGATGACGTGTGGCAATCTTGGCCCCAGACGATAGGTCAAATTCAAAGAGATCAGAATACTCCTTCATGAGCCGGTCAACAACTGCAACACAAAGATGTTCGGAGGGATCGGAAAAGGGAAGAGCAGAACAAGATGGAAACATAGGAGGAAATAGTGGGGAAACAAAAGTAATAGAAGCAGAGGTAGAAGTAAAGGGACGAAGAGGGATGAAAGTGAGAAGAATGGATGAAACATAAGGAAGTATAAGACAAGGGGGAGAAGCCTCAAAGTCACACTTGGCATAATTGCGCTGCAACCAATCCATACCAAGAATGAGGTCAAAAGCTTGACTCGGCACCACCCACAATGACTGCAACTCAAGCTTGAGATCACCCACACGCACAACCAGGTCTGCCTCATCTCGTGCACATGCATGTGTACGGCCGTTGCCATAAAGAATGAAAATTGGATCTGTCGCACAACGCAAGTGTAAACAACAACATGTGGCAACAGGTCGAGCAATAGAAGATAAACTCGAACCTGTATCAACCAACACGGAGAGAAGAATAGGAGACCTCTTGTTATAAAAACGAGCTTGGAAAGTAAACACTGGATGAACCGGTGCCGAGTGAACCCCTTGATGATACTCTCGAAAGAAAGATGGAGGGGTCACTAACTTATTCACGCAAGGTCCCTCCATTACTCGCGTGACTCCTCATTTCCCGGGTGCACCTCGGTGTCCAAGCCTTCCACCGCAACAGCACCAACGGGACGTTGTTGACGCCAAGGTCTCCATCCAGGAAATGGAGGTCGCCAATCTGGAAAGCGTCAACAATGCCGATAAATATGACCAACTTCATCACATGCCCAGCAACGAACATCACGGCCACGACCACGTCCTCACCCTTATCCGTGGACTCGAGTAGCAGCAGCATCAACCTCCATTGGAACAGGACCATCACTCATAGGAAGTGGAGCTGAAGGACGTGCAACGAGAAGTGGAAGAGGCGACGTCTCATAACGTTGTGCCAAGCGAAGAGCATCATCAAGGGTGGCAGGAGCAAGTGCATGCACAAGGCCGACAAGATCTTGACGAAGTGCTGGCCACAACATTCCTAGCTTGATCTGCTCCAACATATTTGGCTCCGCACGAAGCAAAAGACTTTGGAAACGAATGCCAAATTGCATCGCCAACTCAAATGGCCCTTGGCAAAGACAATGCAATTGTTGGAAGGCATCATCACAATCGTTGGCATGTCCAAAGGCACATTTGAAGACATCCGGAAGAACACTCCAATCCCCACAAGTGGCCGCACTCAATCTATTGTACCACTGCAACGCTGTCCCTTGGAGACACGTGGGAAACTCACGCAAATGTTGAGCATCATCCCAAGAATGATATGTGGCAATCACCGTGAAGTGATCGAACCAATGGTACACATCATCCCCAGGATTCCCACGAAAGAACTCCGGCCGAACGCGAGGATTGGCACCAAGAGCAGGAGGAGTTTGTCCACGTGCCATGAATGCCGCCATCAATTGAGTTTGGTTGTTCAATTGCAAGCGCATAACATCAAGCAATTGAACCAACTGCTGCTCTAGAGTCAAAGGAGGAGATTGCTAATCGGCCATTAAGATGAACGAAAAAGAAAGAGCAAAAGAAGAGAAATAACAAAAAGCTGGAAAGAAATGGTAGATCTAAACAATGCAAAAAGCTAGATCTAAACCAAAATCCTGAAAGGAAAGAACAAAAGAAAGGAAATGGAAAAAGCTAGATCTAAATGATGCAAAAGCTAGATCTAAACCGAAATCCCAAATCCAAGCACTCCCCAGCTGCCCCTCACCTCCACCAATGTGAGTGCATGGAATATAAAAAGGGAATATAGAAATGTTCATCTCAATTAACCCAAAAACCCTAGTTTATATATAGGAGTGAGTTGTCTGGATTAAAACCAATGCGACGGCTACCAAAATCCCACTACGCTAATATTAGTATACAGCATCGTAGCCGTACACTT